CATAAACACGAGACGCCTGTCAGACACAGCAGCGGGAACGGAGGAGGCGGGGGGCGAGGCGGCAGCCGGTGAAGAAAGGAGAGAGGAGGAGATGGAAAGGGAGAGGGGAGCAGGAAGGGGCTCCCGGTGGGAGGGGAGAGGAGAGGAGAAAGGGAAGGGGGGCACAGTAGGCAAAAGAAAGAAAGCGCCGGCCCGCCAGCAGAGGCGGGTAGAAGACCCGCTTCTGCTGGCGGGCTGCCCCTCTCTTCTCGAACAAACTCTCTCTCAAATTGAGTTTGTTTGAATGAAGTGAAGAAACACACACACACACACACACATTACTCACAATAAAAAATTACTTACAAATTAAATAACAATAATTTTGAATTCCTCCCCCCTCCCGACCCACATACCTTTTCCAGCTGTGTCACACAGAGGATTTCAACTCTCCTCTCGTCCGTCATGATGAAAATGTAAAAAATGTAAAAAATGTAAAAAGAAAAAGGCAAGACCTGCTGCTGCCAGAGGCAAGAGGACCACGTGCCTCCTTTGCATAAGGAATTTTTTGCCTTTTAACCATTGCTTAACTCTGCTCAAGTGATCATAATGAGTCTAAAGGAGGCACATGGTTCTGTTGCCTCCCCCTGCTAAGCACTCTCACTAAGTAGAGTCATCCACTGTGACTCTGGCAGCAACTACCTCTGCCTTTTTCCTTTTAATTTTTTTTCTTTTCTTTTTTTTAATATAAATTTTTATTTTAAACACATAAACAGAAACAGACACATGACTTAAACATAGGAACAATAAGTTCCATCCTATATCATACAGCAGTTCCATATCAGTTTCTTTGCAGTTAGTGTTTTCCCTTCTATACATTTCTATCTTGGATTCATAATTTCCTTATTCATTATCCATTTTTATGTACAATTCTATATTTATTTATACTTAGCTATTTATAACCAAATATTGTTTACCTATATTGTGCTTTATCTCTGCACTCTTTCTAGAGTCTCCACATCAGAGGTGGGTTCCTACC